CACCTCCGCGGCCTTTAATAGCTCCGCGCGAAGCCGTTACACGATGCGATGAGGGTTACAAACCGCCTCCGGAGGCCGAGCCCCGCCGCACCCTCGGGGACTCGTCCTGCTGCATGAACCCCCGCGGTGAAGAACACCCCAACAGGGAGAGAAAGGCGAGGGGAGTCCCGGGCCAAACCCGGGGTGCTGGCGGGGTCCTGGGCCAAACCCGGGGTGCTCACGGGCACACGGGGCCGTGGTCCCAGCCTCCAGCAGGAAAAGGGACGGACTCTTGGGGTTTCTTGTCCGTTGGGGTTTCAGCTGCACGGTGCGTCGAGATGGAGGAGCCAGTCCCGCAGCAGCGCTAACAGCGTCGCCCGTCGTTAACGAAGCTGAATATCAGAAATTAACTTTTCAGTCATGGTTTCTGCCTGAAAGCAAAGTTCTCCGTTTTGTCCAAGTCACTGTCCATCCTCTGACATTTCAGAAATTCTGTCTATCGATTTCAGGAGATCGGCGACGAGCTGCAGCGACTCTGCTCCAGAGACCAGCTGCCTGGAACGTGGGAGAGAGACAGCGTTAGACCGAGGAGGAGAGGATGGAGGAGCCGAGCCCGGCAACGCTGTGGTGGTGTTCACCCACCCAATGTGATTTTTCAAGAAGCAATTTATCTGAAGACTTCACTTCTTGAAGTGCAAGAGTCTTGGAGAAGTGAAGCGTAAGAGACTTACGAGTCTAAGTATAAAGGTGAGAGTTAAAAACAAGACTTACATTCCAGTTGTTTTTATTACCTAAACTTGGAGAAAAATATATTGTGGGGAAGTAAGAACATGGACTAGCTGGGCTGGCACATAGAACACAAGAACCTGAGTTTCAATCCTCAAAAATCACTGGGAACACTTAGCATTTAATTTGGTATCTTTGCCAGTATTTATCTGGGACAGCGTCAGGAGAGTCGTCGTAAAACAACTCACTTGATCGAAGAGCGGGAGTTTGTGATCACCGTGAGGAGGTTCTGCAGGGCGAGGTCTGCGTTCTGTTTCACCACGGCCAGGCTCGCCGACTGGCCCGACCTCAAGGCTTCGTTCTCCATCTTGTAGTTCTTCAGCTGAACCTGGGGAGGAAACAAACAAAAACCTGAGGGGAAATCTGACCTCCTCTAGGTGGCCCTGCTCTGGCAGGGGGGTCGGCCTAGATGATCTTCACTAGATGGTCTCCCGAGGTCCCTTCCAGCTCCTCCTTCTGTGACAACAGCTCCCGCAGACACTCTACAACTAAGGAATACATTCCTACAGCCATTCACTAGCCACAGCTACGAACGAGTGGATCCCTCCAGAGAACGTCTCCCCGGCCCCGAAGAGCCGTCTCTGACGGAAACCCACCCCTGAGAAGCCTTTGTGCCACCAGCGTTTCCCCGCCAGCCCGCAGCCCTCATGGCCGCTGGTCTCGCCGAGCCGACCTCGTGGCGCAGCGGCGTGTTCCAGCGCCGGCGGCGGGGGGAGGAAGCGTAGA